CCTACCACCAGAAAAACTTTTTCGGCGCGATGTCATATGTCGCGCGTTCGCTCGCTGCGCGCCGTTCGCCCGCTCACCGCTCCCCGCTCGCCGCCGTCTATCATCGATCGATGCGTGACTCCACCTCTCGCTATCGGATCTTGAGAGATGTCAACAAATACACCATTTTGCATGTCTGCCGAATCCGGCCTTCCGCTCCTCCGTGCACTTATTGGCTCAGACGTTTTTCTTAATTACGCGATAATAATTACGGATTTTGTAAAATGGTATATAACTTTTCTTCTCAGTTTGACCCAATCTACTATAATCTTTGGAGTGGTCCAAATCGAATCCGACACCCTGTATAATTACTAAACTATTTTATGCTAGTACTAATTGAAAGTGTTACGAAAAAATACCTAAGAAAATAATTAACTGCAAAATTCTCGAAATGTATAATATGTACAAAGGTATAAACCTTGCAGCTTTAAAAAAACTTTTTTTGAAACTGGATTATGTATATACAGGGTGAGTCATTTTTAACATGACGACCTTAACTAAATCGTATTGAACACTATCGGAATCCGAAAAAAAAGTTTGGCATATTCACTGTTTTTTTTAAAATAAAATTAAGTATAATGAAGTTTTACTGCTATATTTTTAATTGCATGTTATAAGATTTGGAATTTCATGAAGAATATATAAATTTCAGTTTTCTTCGAATAAATAAATATCCAAAGAAACCATTTAACCAAGATCAATATTCCACTTCTTTCATGTTGTGTAATACACGTGTGTAGCCGACAGGTTGTCTCGCGGTGTGCGATATCGATATTATCTAAAGTGATCGACTTCTTCGGATCAACCTACGACTGAATCAGCGACTTATCTGTATACCCGAGAAATCACGTGCGCACTCACGCGTGTGTGTGTGAATGAGTGAGTAAGTGAGTGAGTGAGTGTGTATGTATGTAATCTTCAAGTGGTCATCTTACTCTTGTAGGATTTGTTTCATTGTAGACAAATAAATAAATAAAAGTTTTATTGCGACAAAACTTCTGTCAATTCTTTTTCTGACATACTATTATTATGCAATGCCAAAAATATATTTTTTTTACTTAACAAGATTATTCAACACATGTCTGACATGTTTCTCTTTAACAAAACAGACTTGTCAATTGAATAAAATAAACGAAACGATGTTTTTAAAGCATTTCCTACCGTTTTGATCTTGGATAATTTTCAATCACTTTTAACATTATCTCTCTTTTGATGCGATAAAATCTCGCGGTACTTGGCGAGCAGCAATTGTTTAAATGAAGAAAATGTTTTTTCCGACAATGTGCTGTTTGCTCGCAGCTGCGTTGGGCGGTATGCAGGCCGGCATGACGCTCGGTTGGACGTCGCCAATCCTGCCGTATCTCACATCGACGAAATCCTTCCTTCCGCAACTGTCCGAGGATCAGATCTCGTGGATAACATCCCTGCTGGCGCTGGGTGCTATTGTGGGCGCCGTGCCGGCTGGTAAGATCGCCGATCGAATCGGTCGGAAACGGGCTATCCTCTTGACGGCTGTACCATTCGCCACGTGCTGGCTCACTCTGCTTACGACCGCGAACATCGTCAGTATATATGTCGCTCGATTCATCGGTGGAATCGGCGCCGGGGCGGCCTGCGTCCTCGTGCCGGTCTACGCCGGCGAAATCGCTCAGGCATCGATTCGCGGAGCCCTAGGCGCCTTTTTTCCCCTGCTCTTCTCCTCGGGGATCATGTTCTCATACGTGGTGGGCGCGTACTGCTCCTACGTGGTCTTCAACATCGCCTGCTGTGCCATATTGGTGCCCTTCGTCCTGGGTGTGCCCTTTATGCCGGAATCGCCCTTGTGGCTGGTGCAGAGGGATCGTAAGGCCCAGGCTGCAAAGGTGTTGACGATTTTGCGGGGATTGCATTATGATATCGCGGCGGAGATAGCCATTTTGCAGAATGATGTTGATAGGATGGCGAACGCGTCGGGCGGCATCAAGGATCTCTTCGGGACTAAAGCCGGACGTAAAGCCGCTGTCACCTGCGTGGGACTCATGTTCTTCCAACAACTGTGCGGTGTAGACGCAGTTCTATTCTACACGGTCAACATCTTCCAGGCGGCAAACAGCACGATCGACCCCTTCCTGGCGACCATTGTCATTGGATTCACCGAAGTCGTAATGACCATATTCGTCGCTACCGTAATTGATAGGTTAGAGCGTGATAAATCTCAACATATTTTTTCAAATTTCTTAAAATTCATGTAGTAGCTTTAGATGAAATGTCCGACGATTATCCTCCGCGCATCGAGATTTCTTCTTCTCTTTTTCATAACGCGGAGTATCGAGTTCTATTTAATTTATTCGATTCCGTAACTTGGATTTTCATTAAACAAACGGAGACATTAATTCTCATGAATTTCCTCAAATATCTTCAAGTTCATGTATATACAGCGACCATACGACAATTGTAAATCGGTTGCGTCTTTTCTTTCTTCAGATTCGGCCGAAAGCCGCTCCTGATAATATCCGGCACGATGATGACCGTTTGTCTGAGCGTCCTGGGTTACTACTTCAAGCTCAAGGATGAAGGAAGTGACGTGAGCACCTTTGGCTGGCTGCCGCTGACCAGCCTCGCTCTCTTTAACATTGTCTTCTCGATCGGTTACGGGTCCGTGCCGTTCACGGTAATAAGCGAGATATTTCCGCCGGAAACCAAGGGTGTTGCCAGCAGTATGTCTATCGTGGTGCACTGGAGCTTGGTGTTTGCCGTCACCAAACTGTTTCCGACTATGGAGGACAGGATGGGCCAGGCTGTGACCTTCTGGACGTTCGCGTGCTTTACCGCCGCATCCGCGGTCTTCGCGTACTTCGTAGTACCGGAGACAAAGGGTAAGACTTTGCAGGAGATACAAAGCAAGCTTCAACGAAGGCAAAAATCGAAAACGGAGTATCAGGTGGAACCGATCTGAAACTATCCATGTCCTGCGTTCACCTTGTCGCACTTTGGTAGCACCGAGATTAAGGAACGGTCCATGGAGGTCGAAACGCTCAATTTTCTGATGGGTGATTTTTTCCTTTTTACAAGAACGTATTTATTGTAAGCGAATATTGACGCAACTGGCAGAGTTTCTTATCTTTTCTGCACGTAATGATTGTACGACGAATGACTTTCTGATATTGTAAATAATTATGTAATTATTGTACAATGATCTTTCAAATAATGTAAATACCCAACATACTGATGTGTGTACTACACAACAATTTTATATATTAATATGACAAAATATGTATATGTATAAATGACTATACTGTATATCTTATAAAATTATATAGCTGTAACTATACAATTATGTAGTTTTTATAAATAAAAATATATTTTACGTATTTGGAATAACAAAATTGAACGAGAAATGAAATATCAATGCCAAATCTTTTTACCGAAACTTCATTTTTCAAAAATTTCATTAAAATAAATGCAAAATTATTCAAAACGCTACACGTTTTTTTACATGTTGAATAATTTTATTATTTGAAAAATATTTTGTGCGTTTTATCCGTAATATTTCTTCATTTAATTAACAAAATTTTGTGTTGGAAACGATGTTATCGACAAACTAACGTTCGAGTTAAAGTGAATTCCATCCACTGGATGTCACACGCTACACGTTCGTTACGAGAAAATGTATGTGCTAAGAAATAAGCACGGAGAGAACCATCATATTTCTTCTCGCAAGCTGATTGCAAATTGAAAAATGTTGCAATGTTTTTTTTACTATTTAATGTCGCTAAATAATAATTTGCAACAAATAATAATGCGACAAATCTTTTTCGTCACAGTTAACGGCACTTGTCTTTCTTATCGAGCCATGGTAACAGGAACGAACAACAACTTGCAGTAATCTCGACTTGGAAACTTCGTTGTTATGATGTTTAATATGTTTAAAATATTTGTGATGTTTAATGTCAAATAGAAAGTGCGACCTCTTTATTAATCATGTTCTCCTAATACATTGTCGATTTTTTTCGAGACATTTGAGGAAATTTTTGAAATACAGAACATTGTTGAAAATTGAGAAAGTTCTTGGAATTTGAAATAGTGCGACTTCCTTGCCGATCATGTTCTCCTTATATTTTGTCAATTTTTTAGACTTGGAAAATTTTGTGGAAATACAGAAGATTCTTGGAAATTGATGGATTTTTTAGAAATTGCAAAAATTCTTACTATTGCTAATGCTGTAAAACAATATTGCTTGATTGCATTAGGCATTTATGTTACTTTGTATGCAAATTTTTACCGTACCATAAATTTTAAGATTACATTTTGCATGATTTGTTTACGTATCGTTAACGTTAAGTTTAGGCGAACTTTTTCATGTAGACAATACATATGGTGTCATCAAATGCACCTATTATCAATGGTGCAGAACGATATCACTTCGTTACATTAGGCATTTACTTTATGTATGAAAGTTTTAATCCAACTAAACCTTTATAGTCTAACTTTTACTGAACTTTTATATAAAATAAGTTGCAGAGTTAATCATAATATGTCTAGCTCTGTAACTTATTTTAAAAGCATTCAACTATTCTGACACGTTTGCATTTTTTTAACACAATTTATAAACGTGCATTTTTTAATTTTTTCGATACATAATTGTAGAAAGAATCTTCGAGACATTTACGTCGACAGATAAAATCCCTTTGATTTTAATTAAATCCACTCGTCTTCTGCGGTCACTACTTGTTGCTGCGGTAGAACATGCCGCATAATATCGCGTAATTTTCAACTGATAAAGCAATTCGGTCACCAGCAGAGATATTACGCTAAGTTTCACAATGGGGAGATTACAATGGGGAGTTTGATTCGAGTTAGGGATCAAGTTGGTATGATGAGGCTAAAGGAACCCTATTCTCCACGTGTATTCTTCAAACGTGCTTACAATAGCGAAGTCCTGTTTGCGACGTACTTTTCGCAATAGCACGTGCTTTGTACTTATTGTTAGTATCGCTTTAACGCGATTACATCGCCTTACTTGATGCAAATCCTCGTTTCTGTGTTTGCTTTTCCGTGTTATTGCGAACGGTGATTGCGAAACAAAGCAAATCATAATCTTTGTAAAATCTGCGCAGTGCGGTGTGTTGAAAAATTGTGTATGCAAAATTTATCTATGGACTTCTCAATCAGATCAAAGTAAAATTTTCTTAATAAAATTCTCATCACGCAATATTTCTTTTACATCTCCTTGATTTTAGTTATTGGACATCTTGATCACTACGCACTGCATATTAAAATCTATTTTTAAAAAACTCTGTTTCTTATTTTAGCAGAATCTTGACTTGAAAGTTTGTTATCAAGATGTTTAATATTCAAATTTTTAAGACTGCAGAAAGAGACTGGCGTCCAGATAAATCTTTGTAGAAAATTCTGTTTCTCAACAAAGAATTAGACATTATTTTGTCAAATATGTATATGTCACCAATTATAGGTGTGTACACTTTCAAGCCATAATGAGTAAAAAAAAGTTTCGTTAATAATTTTGTGCGCTACGTAAGATTAATAGCCGTCACGCTTTTGCTGAAAAGAATACGGAATCTCTCATGAAAGCATAAATAAATGAGCAGGCATCAGCACTTGCCGGGAGATGAGAAGTTTGCGGCGCTATAAATCCTAAGTAGGACTCGGTTTCCGGAGGTTTGAACAACTTATCCTTCATAAGTCCCGCTGATGACGTTCCACATTGTGGAGTTTCGTCGTCCCTTTCCGCTGTCTCTGAAGACTATTATGGTGCGAGAGGACACGCGAGAGGTGGATGAAAGAGAAGTTGTAATCACATACTCTGTAAGGATAGTTGGACACATAAGAATGGATGTGGAAAGCAATATCCGGCACATCCGTCTCTCCAAGCCTTTAATGACAAGCTTTTTATTGTTGTTATAAAAATGCTTCGATCATTTCGTAATATATTTATCGAGAAGAGGATTTGTCAGGGCTCTTTTATATATTCATAATTTTCCAGTGAACGTTCTGATTTATGCAAAGAACATTTCTATAAAATATATTTTTTCTGGATATCTCGTCTCTTCAAAACATGATATAGATTTCTTAGATTATTAAAAACTTGGTAAGTCTTAATCCAGTAGGACTTCAGTACTTTCGCGCTTGTAAAAATTCTACTTATGATTATCGCGCGATCTAAGTCATGTGTGTAAATATTTTATAAAATCAATCAGTACACAGTAAAAAATCGTGTGTTTAAATGTTAAAATTTTTTTGCGTTACGACTGTGATATCGACATTTCTTAAAAAATATTTCAACTATTCTAATTTGTAACTATTTGTTTACTTGTCCTGTCTGTTTCTATTACATCACACTTAAGGCTAATTTTATTTTTTACTGTGTATACTACATTCTAAATTAGAAGAGTAAAGTAACATTTATGTTGCGGTAGCTCATAAAAATTGTCTACTAGGCGTTCGTAAACACGGAATGGCGTTTTGTCCTCGATCTAAATCCCTTGCAATACTAAATCAAGGACAAGATATATGTATTTCACAATTCACAGTTGCAACTAGATACATACACGAGTGGAAAACTGTAAGCAATGTTGATCACACATACGTGGTGAAGGCGATGAATTACATCGTGGCTTATCTTACATCAGTAGCTTATCTTAGAAGAAATATTACGAAGCATCATGTCGTGAGACAAGGTTTTGTAGGAACCGTGCGTCAAGATGCATATTCAGGTACAACTGTTACATATAATCTTTTAGTAGTCAAGAATGAAGAATCAAGACTCAAGGCTGAGATTTTCTTGCATCCACATGTCGCAACACTGACGACCTCCTCCCTCCCCTCCTCTTCGATTGAAGGGTAATAAAAAATATATTTACGTTTCGTATATTGTAACGATTCTAATTTTACTACACACGGGATACTATAAAAACTGTAATTTACTTTCTTGCAAATTGAAGCAAAGATAAATTGACATTTGAAAATATCTTTGATGAGAATTGAAGGAACGTTCACAGATAAATTGTACACAAATGAATGGGACATACCATGAAAATGATCGCGTACTAATTGCTTGCAGCGCAGCAGCTGCGTTTGATTGCGGGAGTTCGTAATAATTGCGAATTACTTCCTTGTTATGCGTCACCTACTTCGGCACGTACGCTGTTTTTAAGAAGTATAAAACTAGCAGGCATTTAACGTCACAATAATGGCGAATCCTTTAATGACTAGCTGCTAATTGTTATAAACAGTTTAACAATTGAGGCTATTTAATAAATTTCATCGTGTGGATTGTACCTAGAATTCATTGCGCTTACTCAACTCAATTTCAATCACCCCCTTGGCCCTTAAACTGGGTGGGAAACTTATTACAAGATTGCTCGCGCAACGGAAATATCTTCACTTTATACTCGTGGGAATGTACGTTCAGATACTTTCCGAGGGTAATGTAATATCCAATAAGTTTTGAAATTCGTGTGGCGCAAGTCTGAGAGAAACGTATATCCAAACCCATGTGTTCGCGAATCGTAAACATTATTAGCCACGCCGTACAAAGAGGATACACACGTTTCAATCGTCTCTATAATTAACCATCGTTACCATCAGTTACCTTTGAGATCGAACGCAATTTCCAAATCGCATTATTCAGAAGGCGACACGAGTAGTAACGCTAATAGTGCAATAATAAAATATGCGGCATGGATTTTCCATCCCGAATTATATATTGTTGGATAATCCGATTAGATGGGAAAAAAATCACATCTAGCTTAAGAGACCAGATGGAAGTCGGTGCAAAATAACGTCTCGTATATTACCGGCGCGCTTAAGATTCTCTCCCTGCGTAGGTCATACGTCACCTATTAAATTTAATGTCACTTTAATCGCCGGATTTATATTCCTCGGATATCACGTAACTTTGCGGACCGATTATCTCCATTTTAATTCAAGGGAGGGGAGGATAATCATTTAATAGAAGAGAAAAATGTAGTTTCCAAAAGGGCAGAAGAAAATTGTTATAGGTATGTATTTTTTATCCGATTAATAATAACAAATTACCTGATACAATACGATTATTGGATTGTAGTTAAAATGTGGAAATCGACAGAGAAATATATTTTCGGAAGAACTTGAACAGAAGTTGCAAGCCTAAAATTTTGATTAAATAATTAGCAACATCATTAATTAACGTCAATTAATTTTATTTATAATACTAATTTGATAGTCTGTTTAAATTTCTAAAAAAGTTTTTTTATTTATCAAGTTTAAATTCGTACGTTTGGTTCTAAAATTTTTACGTTTTACAATGTGATAGATTGAACAAAAGTCCATCATATTGATCACTGAAATAACGTTTTTCGCAACTTGCGGTTCTGAGAGAAAGTAATATCTCATATTTGCAAATGTCATTTATCCTATCCAAATGAAACTAGTTTTAAAACTTGTCAAAAACGGTCAAATTATTGCGGAATTGTTAATGAAATTGTCGATTTTTGGAGATGCGGTGTCAATTTTCTAGTGGCGAAATAGATGACGTTACCTAGCAACATTCAATGAAATCACAAGAAAGTCACGTTAACAAATTTTTGATCCAAAGTACCGAATTTCATAACTTATAAAAAGACAGACGAAATGTATTAAAAAATCTTAATATCACGTAACAAAGAATCCGTGTCACGATTTTCTTGGTACACGCTGAGTATACGTGATAAGAAGACCGCTTAAACTCAATCGCCAAGTCGTTGGGAAACCGATCACAGTCCCCGGCTAAACTGTCGACGCTACCGATTTCATTAACGGAAATCCGTTATTCCCGATAGCGTTGGATGGTTTTCGCTGTTACCGCGAAATCCTCTCGTGTCATAAGAATGATAATCGCGTAAGGACGAAAAGGATATGCCGTTCGCGGAAGAGGGGGAGTAATTTTCACCATTTCGCGCATTAACCCGGCTCTCATCAGGCGGAATCTGGTGTCGATTGGCGGATTAATTACAGCGCGTGTCCTGCGGAACGGGGGTACCGTTCGCCCGGTCGGTCCGCCTGTTTGCCGTATCCTGCTCGCCACGACCTCCACCACCGCCACCGCCGCCACCGCCGCCACCACCGCCACTGCCACCACACTTGCAGGGGGGTTGGCTGCGCTCGTTGTGGGTCCACGGGTGGGGGTTAGCGTCAGTGGCAGCGGGTGGGTGTTCGTGCAGGTGCAGGTACGCGGTACCCCCCACGACCATCGCCGCCGTCACCACCACCACACCAGTACCAGCACCAGCAGTAGCGGCCACTAACACCATCACCATTTCCGCGACCGTCCCTTGCCACCTCTCCCTCGTTCTCTCGCCGCGTACTCGCGTGTGTACATGCCCCGAGACCCCGCCGTTACGTGTGTACGTACGTACGCGGCTACGTCGACGAAGATTCCGTGCGGCCGGCGGCGTTCTCCGGCTCGGGGTGGTTCGATACGCGCGCGCGCGCACGATACCGATGGGGGTTCGGTGCCGACAGTGCCGCCACAGCTCTCGGAAGAGACGCCCGTGATTTTGCACCCCCGCTCGAGCAGAATTTACCGGACTATACGACGAGGGTGCACCACGGCTCTCTCTCTCTTTTTCTCTCTCTCTCTCTTTCTCTTTCTTTCTTTCTTTCTCTCTCTCTATCTCTGTCCCTTTATCTTTCTCCCGCTCGATCCTTTCCTTTTCTCTCCAACTCCCGCTCGAACGTCTTCTCTCTTTACCGCGGACTGTCCCTCTTTCTCGCTTCCGGCTTTTTTCTTCGTCTTCACCGTCGTCGTGCCCTTTGCCCGGCCGTATTATTCGCGTCGCGACCACCGTCGTACCTCGCCGGATGACGAATGACGAGTGAGTGCTGACCGTGTGGGGGATACCGCGGAGTCGATCGCGTTGGTCTCACCGTCGATCCCGACGCCTCGTGGTGGTGGGTGCTGCTGGTGATGATAGTGGTACGCTGATACGAGCCGACCACGCTGCTCTACGAGAGCGCGCGATCGTGCGTGGGCGGACGCGCCTTCCCTTCCATCTTTATCCCGGCCGGTGTACACCTTGATGAACAGCCTGACTAATCGCGTCCTGGCCGCTTAGTCACCGATGGTTCGCCCTCGGAGTCCTCCTCGCGTGATTCCGCCGCGAACGCGAACAAACGTTGAGAGGATCGGGGTGATCGACTGGCAGGCGACGACGCTTCGTGTGTTTCCGACGTGCACTTATTCAAATTTCACCCTCGCGCAAAGCGGAAAGTAAAAAACGAGAGTCCGCCAACGACCAGGAATAAGAAGCAGGAATGCGCGTTTCCGCGCTTCCGAACTGCTGATCGAGCTATCGATCGAGGGACCGCGCTGCAATATCACGATTTACATGACGGTTTACGTGCCACAGTGACGTGGTTGATGATCGATGACGACGCGAGTCGCGAGGGCTCACGTGGTCGACTTTCACTCGCTACCACACGCATATATTTATCATTAAATTCACCTGGACTGTCGGCGAAACAGCTCGGGATTCTAAGGGCTGGTAGACGCGGCTGGTCGATCGCTTATAGCAGGTAGTACCATGACACTCGACGGCTGCCGACATTCCAAGTGAGCTATGTGCAGGCACGGACTCCTTGACCTCTTAAAGTCGCGACACGGCACAAGGAGTATACCACGCGAGTATGTGTAAACCGCTCTCGACGATGCGGCGAGGAGGATAGGCTCGTGAACGACGGTATAACTCGAGGAGTTAGCGATCGAACCTTCTGTGATCTCGAGAGGTTCGTCATTCGGCTCGAAAAATACCGTCGAATCGTGCCTTGCATGCGCTTTACCGTCGCCAACTGTGACACGGCGTAATCTATCAAGACGCAATGACACGCGTCATTGTTTCCGACAAGCGGGATCATTAGAAACTTCAAAGTGCAGGAAGCAGCCAAGAAATCTCCGTCGCCATCCGTCACACGCGAACGCTTTCCGGTATCGGTCGTCAATAATAAATGTACCGGGTATTATCTATTTATCTAACATTTTAACGCGAAGGGGGAAAACGGACCATCGTGTAGTGGAGTTTTGCAGCACAGTGTATCATATATCAATCTACAAAGCTGCTATCTTTTGTATTGTGAACTCCCGGCCTCGGCTCGCGTGGTCCCGTGCGCGTTTCAAAAAGAATCATAATCCTCTGTATTCGAAAGAATATTTTTCAATACGGATTCTACGACAGTTAATTGACGAAAATGTAATCGTCGAACGTGAAATTGTTAGAAAAGGATGTCTCACGCGAGCTTTCGCTGGCGTTGCGACGAAAGTTGAGCCAGCGTTCCGAAATAGCCGAGATGCAATCGCAATGATCGAAGCGTCGTACAAATCGACGAGATAGAGAAAGACAAATCGGTAAGGCGGAATTGCAGGCAGCGCGATATATCGCGTAATCCCAAACGTTTCAAAATCCTGCTAGTTGGTCGACCGATAACAACGTGGTGGCGATCGATCGGCAGCGATAGAGCACCGAGGTGATCTAGCGATAGCATGAGGCCGACGAAAGTGGTACAGGATCGAAAGGGATGATCGAGCAAAGGTCCCAATGACATCTCGGCGGGGCGGGAGCGAGGGGTATAAAAGTCCTCCCAGCCCTCCGAGCAGCGGTTCGGAGGACAATGGCTTCACGAATCGACCCCGGGTGGCCGGGCTCTACGTGAAGAACTTGAGCAGAGAGGAGTTGGATGAGTTGGCCAAGGAGGGAATTTACGGGCCCACCGGGAATCCGAACGACCGACCCAGAGACAGTGGTAGTCAGAGGAGTCTCGATATTCCGGCAAGTAGCAGGGACTTGGACGGTCAGGATCATCTTAGAGGAGCGACTTCCAGGACACCTCAGCCACCCAGAAGATCCGGCGCCGCAGGCAGATATCGAGAACCTGGTGGCGGATTATCGGATTTAACACGGAGGGATCATCATGGCTCGCTCCCGATGGAAAGAAGTTGGCCGAGGCGACCGGAGGATCGTCCCGGGCAGGCTTCGCCGGAAAGGTTTGCCCACCGAGGGTCCACCGAGTTTCCTGTCGGCTGGAGGGAGTCGTTCGTACGTTCCACCGCTAGCGCATCGCCCAGAGCAAGTTCCATCGACGTGCGGGTTACCGGCGAGGATCTCAGGGTGCCGGCCCCGCGCCGTTTCGGGGAAACTCCAAGGCGCCCTGAAGTACCCTTGCCCTTGCCCCGTGTCTCTTCGTTAACAGGAACCAACGGGGATCGGAGGCAATCGCCGCCACCATACGCGGGTTTAAGTCCGCCCAAGTATACCGAGTACGAGGAACCGAGTTCGCGGGCAGCCAAGATTTGCCCCAAGACTGCGACGAGAGTCTACCAAGTCGATGACAAAGAACGTCCGAGTTCGCCGTTGTTGGATGAGAACGAGGAGCATCCGCAAGCGTTGGCAAAATCGTCGGATTCGCGCGTTGACGCCGACAAGGCAGACAGAGTTACGAGTCCGTCGGGGACGGAAAAACTGACCTCACCGGAATCCAAGAAGAGCGAATCCCCGCCGATGAAGAGAGTTGGTTCCAGGACGCAAGACAGCACGAGGCTGCGGCCACCGTTGGCCGGAACCGCCGGCACCTCCGCCGATTCCGGCACCGGCGATTCCGGAAGCGCCGAGATTCAGGCGGACGTCGTGACACCGCAGGCCGCGTCGGGTGACGTTCTCGACATCCGGGAATCCAAGATCGAGGGCAGGTCGTCCGGTGCGAGAACACCCGGCAGCAAGGGTGGCAAGCAAACGGTCAAGCCGTTCACCAAGGCAAGCAGGTTGGAGAACAGGACTGTGCAATTAGTGCGCGAATATGGTTTTCAACCCAAGAGAAAGATGTCAGTGGAAGATGGCGCGGTACTGCCAAACAAATTCGAACCGTTCCCAAACGATCTCTATGGCAGGCCATTGGAGGAGATCGACAATTTTATCTACGACGAGGTGAGTTTATCTCGCGTGCATATCTTTATTACTTCATCTTGTGCTCATCGTCAAATCAAATCTAGAGATAAGTTTACTTTTTAAATCATTTGATACATGGTACTTGCGGTATAGATTGGCTGAAAGACACGTTATAACTGTCTAGAACCGAGTTGATTCTTCTTCAAATATATGTTTTATTTTTTTCCGTGCTCAACATATCCTTTGTGAGAGTTATTCAATATTAATTTCTTTAAACTGAAACAATTTTACGTACTAAGCTATAGCGAAACCAGAGCGCGATTTCAGTTAGGTATAACAGTTGCCAACTTATCATAGCCATATCTTAAATTCACAAAGCCTCGGAAATGTTAAAGGACCACGCGACCGGGGATCGTTATAACGCGACGCCGCGATGCAATTTCAACGATCGCGTATTTCCAGTTTATATCGCCGAGTGTTGCCGAGAGCAAATATCGGGCGAACGTGCACGATTTTCGTTTCTGTAAATAAATTTCTTCGGTCGTAAAGCGAGTGAAACAAAGGTGGCGGGAAAACAGTAGGTGACAGTAAAAAAAAGGAAAGAGAATCTGTCGGGGAGGGCAGGGGGAGGGGAACGGGAGTACGTGTGTGCGCAGAGCAGACGAAAGGGACTTGAAACAAAGGTGGAGGAAAGAATTGCGAGAGAGACGAGCGTTCAAAAGAGGATGGATGGTGAGAGGTCGGCAGTAGCGAAGAAGTGAGGTGGCAAAGAGAGAGACGGGGAACCACCAGGAAGGGATACGAGGTGAGAGAAAACGAGGAAGAGAAGCGAGAGAAGGTTCGACGCGAGGACAACGGAAAAGATTAAGCGAATTCGCGCGCGTGTGTTCGTGCGCTACACATCTATTTATATTAAAAATCGATCGACCGCGACTATTCGTGACCTGTTCTCAAGTAAGGAACCCCTGTCGGATCTGCGGGAGATTATGTGGGTCACAACACGTCGGATTCCTTTAATTACTCTCGCCCTTCAGTTATCCTTCGCTATTGGCGAGACCTTTATTTATTGAACAAAAAAAAGAAAAAATTGCACCTGTGTATCGCGCAGAATGTTCGGAATTTTATCGAACGACTTCCAGAGCTTTCCAAGTATTTTATGTTCAGACCTTTCGCTAGGCGCCAGTTAGTGAGAACGCCTCACGTTATTGAGATATCAGACGTGGAATATGAACGTTTAATGTGTCAGTACAGAATCTTTCGTGCCGATAACATCTCAATCTCTCGATCGAGCTCGATTAAACAATTATAAAGATGAAACGTTTATTGTACTCGACATTTGCAATAAGTAATCTCGAAAAAGGGACGCACATAAAGAGAATGGTACTTACCGCTCGTGCAATGTCTGTATCCGAGAATCCTTCGTCCTGTGTGCCATCCTGAAATCCTGTAGCGATCTGAAACAAAGAGAATTGTTAGATGGAACTTACAGTACCGCGTTTCACGCAGAATTTATCGTATTATAAATAGAGTGTGCAATATGCAAGTTCGTAGTTTAAAGGTTAAAAGATACGAATTCAGCTTGGTGATTAAACCAAAGAAATCTAGCTATTAGTTTTATGATTCATTCTTGGAATTTTTCAGTAAAGCGAGAATTACTGGCAGCATCAGAGAAACAAACCGTGATATTTTTCCTCGTGGTGATCTGGTAAGAGGAAACTTTCGCAATTTGTCTATCGGAATAACGTAAAAATCGTGTTAATGCAACTTCCATTATACGCTTGATCGTAAATTGTAATAGAGTGTACGCGCACGAGCGTACTGAATTTTATTTATGATGCTGAAGTAGCAGGTCAATAGCAGCGTCAACGTATCCAGAAAGAAAAACCTCAAATTTCGTTAATCTTGTTAAACTTCTTTTATGTAGAGCGATATGATTCATCACTAAATGTACGTATTCCTTTAATTGTTGTTGCATTAAAATATAATGTCGATATTATGCATTAATTTTCTCAACTGAATAAATTCTTTTGCGAAGGATATTAACCCAAGATCTTTTTTCTTCCATAGAAGATATAAAGTACATGAAATTTCAACGTTAACTAAATCAGTTATGCACATTTTATTACTCGAACAAAATGGTTGAGAGACGCATAATAAAATTACATAATTAAACGTGTGTATTGGTAATTATAAATGTTTTCATTTTTCTTTCTCTTTATGAGCTACTGCGTATGAAATAAAATTGTTGAATGAAATTATAAAATCTTTCTTTACTACAAAGATAATTTCTCCAGCGAGATTTAATTACAAAGACAGTTATGTTAGAAGATTTCTCTCTTAAGATTACAAACGGACGACAAAATACCCGCAATATATAATATAAGAATTATGTTAACATAATTTCAATTATACTTTGCTCTCGTAAATTATCGTAACGGACGTGCTTGTACGCGTTTATCCACAATGCTCGAGTGCCAGTTCAATACCAACGTCAGCGTGACCAAGAAGAAAAACCTTAAGCTTCAGTAAGCTCGTTAGGTTCTTTATGCAGGAGAGCAATGAATCTTTCTTGAACGACCGGCGAGTTGTTATTGCTCTCCTCTTACGTTCGCTTTTTCAAAATGAAAAGGAGCGGGCATCGTCATATTTCTTTCGCGCTATTTCTGTCACAGCCAGAGCAAAAACTGCCGGTCCACCGAGCGAGTTAATGTATCTTTAATATCGCGAGGCGCGGGAGAGAATAGAACGTTCGGCAAGAATGGGAAAGCATTATTTATCGGATGCAACGCTTCACTACCCTTAACGAGTTATTACGCTTTTTGGCATCGCGAGAGGAAAGTCCTCCGGGGGTTTTTTCCCGGGTCGGCTGGTATCATCATTATTATCAGATTCGATCCCGACCGCTTCTCTATGATATGAGTATGGTAAACTAGTTTGCGGTAATTATGTTAATACTTTCGTCGGCACTTTCCGCTATGGTATACGTGTATTTCGGATTGCAAAAACGCGCTTCGCAATTGCCACGATAATGGAACAATAATGCTGAATGTTGATTTTTATCGAGGCCTGTAAGACGATTCCGAAATTAAAATATATTGGAATGTTTCCAATTATATCATTGCAGTTTTATTAATTATTCATTTTATTTATTTGCAATGATATATTCTTGGACGAGGAATTATTCGAATATTTTAGATAAATATATTTTTCAGATATTGACTGAGACGGAATTTAAAATATTATAGCTTAAATGATGAAAGAGAGAAATTCACAGAGATTATCCGAGGAAAATAATCACCGAGTTTTTTCTCTTAAAAAGAGGGAAAAGTAACTTGGGGCGGCATAATGAACCGCTTTTTAAAATCTCCGCGACGTTTCGATTATATGTGCGTCTCTCCAAAGGGAGGTAAAAATTTTTCCAATTAAATATGGATGAGGATACTTAATGTAATTGTCACAATCGTCTCGCGAAAAGAGGCGAGAAGTTCTTCGTGATGCTAAGTTTTCAATATCTAGTCTGGGCGTTTCGTAGGTGGATCACGTATGCGATACTTGATCCGCGACATTTTTATCGTCTGTCTGCTGTGTACATACGCAAATTGACAATTTGGCAAGAAAGATATGTGAAAGAATATTGTCTCGCTATCATCCATCATGGAATCCAAGAATTCTATGTTTCAGAGAGAAAACATAATCTGCATTGTTAAATAGTCTACCTCATTTTGTTAAATTATTTGCAATATTTATATATATTTATCATGGTATTTGCCAAGATTTCAATAAAAAGAAGAAAAAGTTAAATTTGAAAATCGACAAAGAATCTATTATATATAGTTGCCCGATAGTATACTCTAGGTCAAGCTACACGTCCCTAACAACCAAAGAAAACGTACTGAAATTGCTGAATGGCACTGATGAAGATACGTCACGTAGTTTTCTTTACTGTTCCCTTTCAAAGTTACATCTTGACCCGTTTCTTATGGACTTCGTAACTTCTATCAGAAATCGGAAATCTATTGCTACCACCGACAGTTCGGTGCCTACGACATAATTTCCACGAATCCGCACTAATTTCACGCTACTGGATCAACTACTTTTGCCTAATTATTTGATTAACCGCACGATGAATAATTCTATCCTAAAACGCAGAGCTTGGCCAAATCCGATACGTCCTCGAAATATAGCACGTTCAGCTGGAAAGGAAATAGTGGAGCTGTGCAAAAATTTTGAAGCAAAAATATGCATGGAAATGTAGCCTCTCGCTAACTCGATTTTTATTGTATCTATTATTCGACCTGATCTTGCTAGATATGGAAAATCGGTCTTGCAATATTTTGAAAGTAGGCTTTTTATGTATAAAAATTACAGTTTCCTTCTAGAAATGCTTACAACGTCTTTACGTGTTAAAATGTTTTAATTTTTCAATGATATTATACATTCACGCGACTATCTCAATTTCTATCAAAATAAAGTCTATATAAAATTTGTTAATAATGAAGAAAGGTTTTATCATCAATTTTCAAACTTATTCTTTTAGCTTATAAAATGCTAAACATTGTCTTGTGTAAATTAAAAAATCGAAATCTACATTTGTCTCGAGAATTTAAATATTAAAAGATTTCTTAATATTTTTTTTATGAAGAAGTGATTTTTTTGTTTAAATACCGGTAATTTTAACACGTTTGTGATCATAGAGCTTGGAATCGAATTAGTGCCGAATGTTGTACACCAGGCGAGATATCTCGCAACGCAGAGCTGCGTAAAATATCGATGATAAGTAAAACATCAAGGTCATTCAAACCTACGGAAGCTACGATACCCGTCGCTACATTTAATTTCCACGAGACACGTGATCACGCGAACTCTTTGGAGCAACCTCACCTTAAGCGGAAGCGAAATTCGTACAAGTCCCATGGCGGCATGTTGTTGCGAGGAAAGTGGTTCGGTCATTTTACCTGTTCTCCCTCTTAAAAAAAAACGGGGTATGAAAGGGAAAAATGCCGATCATAGCGAACGATAAGAAAACTCGCGGTCGTTCCGTAACATTCTCTGAAAAGAACTTATCAACTTGCAAAGTGAAAATTCTGCTTCTTAATGTCACATTCTTATATGTATAATTGTTCGTTTACAATTGCAAAGAATTTTTTAATTAAGTGTTATACTTATTTAGAATTAAATACTAAAGAGATAGATTTAGATTAAATACTAAATAATAGATGATCCTTTGTTCATGATAAAAAATAAATTAATTTTTAGAATAATATTGATTTCTTTCCTATTCTGTTTGAAATTCTATTCTTTTCTTTACATTTCCTTCTCGTCTTGATGCTTAATACAATAAAATTACCAAGTCGAAAGCATTAATTAAATTTCCGGTTAAAATTCATGATTGAAAGAGTAACAATTTGATAACTGTTATTATAATTATCTCACTTGACTTTCCAATCGATAATAAATGTGGGTAAATTTTACAATGACTTTATAACTATTAATTTAATGTTTGTTATAGCGGTATCATATTTATTTCACTGTAATAATTTCCCGGTGAAAATCAATAGAATTTTATGGCATGCTAAAGAGAGCCGATAGGAATCTGTTTAATCTGACTGAACCGCGATAAAGTTAAACACGCTTCGGGTAATTTCTTTCTCCAGCGATAAACTATCGTCCATCGTATTTCCGTTAATGTTAGATTCAACCGCCATATTTATCTTTGTCATAGATATTCTTGAAATCAGTTGCGATATATTTCCAGATGTACCAATCCGCGAAATGAATACCGTGCCAGGTCAGAACCGGACAATTAAAGTAGGCCGCATTTCCGTTTAAATTAAAATTAATCGGCCGCAGTATGAACTTTGTGTCACATTGCGGTCAACTGTTATGACACCTGACATTTATGAGACTCGCCATGTATACAAGCAGGCTCCAAATATTATTGCCTTGGAAAAAAAGGAAAGAAAGGGTTATTATTTTATTCTTTCAACGCTACGTTATTACATCAACCGATAACGTCATATTGCAACAGATTCATATCTAAGGCATTTTAATTTCTTTTCATTTCTTAGAAACATTCTTCATTATATTACAAAAGCCTACTTTGTCATAATATCGTAAATTATCCCTTGAAGATTGTATATAAAAATTAGTTATACAGAAACTGGTTTATTGTACTGCGATATATCCGTATGGTACAATATGTTTTAACACTTTACTAACGAACTCTCCGATGAAATTAATTTTTTCTCCAGCGAGAATTTTCAGTAAATTTTAAATTATATACGTATATTTAACAGTATAAATCAATAAGTATTCGCGAATTAAATTTTAGAAAGACTGTGTCAGTTAATTTTACCCAAGTTCTTTTTGTCAAAAAGGGAATTCGGGGTCTTTGCTAAAAATGTTTAATACTAAAAGCATGCACACAGAAAAAGATTTGACGAACTCTAAATTC